TTCTAACTTTCATGGACTTTTTTTAAGCTTCCAACATATGGCAGGAGTCACATAATTCAGATTTTTTTAAATGGTATTTTTCACAACTACCATGACAAGTGATGCTTTACGCAGTTTAAATACTAATCCTCACTCAATTTCCACCTTTACACGTCAGTGTTTATTAATTAAACAATGGTACTGTCTACTGACTCTTCTCACATCTTTCCAAGTCGTTTTTTTCTTGCATATTTTCAGATATGGAACAGTTTTGATTCTCTCCTTGCTCCCAATTTGATGCCTGGAACATCTTTATTGTTTTATTGTCCCAGTGAGATGACTTTGTTTAAAGAACTTCTGTTTTGCTTAGTATTCTAAAATCTTAGTCCATCAACTGCCACAATCTCAGAATACCTTTCCAGTTGAATTCAGGTTTCCAATCCACCAGTTCTTCTGGTGATTTTGAACATCTGGAGAGCTACTTCAGTTCCTTTTCTTTACAGCTTAAAGCATTTTAACGTGCATTTGTTCCTTTTTTGTTCTTCAGTGGAAGACCGTTGATAAGAGTATATCATTCGGCTTTACAACTGGTGTCTTTTCTTAATTTTGGATGTACTTGTAGCAGTTCTGCTTTTTTCACCACTTTGCTGGTGGGTTTTTTGTTTTGTTTTGTTTTTTTTAGCCTCTATAATAGAAGCGGGAAAGAAACTAAGCTTTGAAGGTGCTGTTGATGTAATTTTGCATTGAAATTATGCATATGTGTCCAGAGAACTGGTTCTGATATTGTAACAGTTAATGCTCTACTCTGTCTATGAAGGTTTCTCAGAGATTCTAGAGAAATTGGTCAGTCTAACTTTGAATAACTTGAGAACTCATTCTCAAAGCAGTCTTGAGTAAAGCAATGAAAGTTGTTTTCCTAAACTGTTGTGTCATGAAGAGGTGGTCTTCTGAATAATCCTTTTTTACTGTCTATCCTCTGACATTTCCTACTAATGAGCTGTGGTTTCTCACATTAATTGAATGCATTGCTGAAGGTGGCACTGGATGAACTTTAGAAGATAACGGTAATTGTGTTGCAGGTGTTACCAGTAAATGTGTGTACATATCAGTATATATGTATGCCCATATGTTCATGAACATCAGTGAAACAAAAAAAGTGGTCTGAAATAGTGTAACTTTTCAGTTTAAGAAAATTTGCAATAGCATTCTTCTAAGAGACCAAGATTAAGGTTGTTAGATATCTGCATCAGCTTTATTCACATTTTGCCTGTGACTATAGCTACACTGGTTTACCTGTCTTCCTGATAATAAAGTGTGAAATAAGAATGGAGGGTGGGTGGGGTTTTTTTTTTCCAGCTCTGGCTGAAAATTTTTAACAGCAAGTTAAATCTTTACCACAGGAAAGACTAGTCAAAATATTCTTTGATGCTTGAATGTGTGCATTTATTTGAAGAGTTTATTAATGGCATATAGTAGGTTGTATACCAGAAATGATCATGCTTTATGAATAAAAGATACTCAATCTGCGTTTCTGAGACCCAGAAAAGTATGGGCTAAAAAATTCAAGGTATACTTTCCAAAAGTGTCTGGAAAGCAGGTGGCAGGATTTGCTTTTCTGAAATTGCAAATATTTACACAGCAGAGATGCATCCAATTTAGGATTAAGAGCTGAAATCTGCACCTGTTCCTCATTTTTTGAGGGGCTGAGAACAATTTACTTCTACTCCCTTTTCACAGATGGCCTACATGGTCTAGATGTGAGTAAATTTGTTGTGGATTTATCTGAAGAAAGTTATGATTCCTTTTGCTTCAATACAGTTTATATTAAAGTAGTTTCCGAATTCTTTGCTTTTTTGAATACATGAAAGAAATAATGACTGATAATTGGCCATAATGGTGTTTTTAAAGTAAGATATTTGGGGTAAGATTTTTTTTACCTGAATTTTACGAGTCAGCATTAAAACCCCTTCCCCTTTATTTGAACAGAAAGATGAGCTTTTTTTATGGTTTACTTGATGCTGTTGCTGAAGACCAGTGATCTGAATAATGAAAGGAAAATAATTGCATGCTTCTTCTGAAAGACAGTAATGTTCATGCTTTTGTCTTAAAATCTGGACTAGAAAATGTTTATTGTCAAGTTCTTCTGTAATGTAGCCACAGTATGTTAAGTAGTTGTACTCTACATTTATTTGTATATTTGACATTCTTTGTAACGATACAACCTTTATTTCATATAGAATTTAAAATAGTTATAGTGGGATGTTATTTAAGGGTGGGAGTTGAATGGTACTTCAGAAGTAATATTAATTACATCAGTCAGTGCTCTTGTATATGCACAAGAATTATATCTTACTGAGTATAA